AGAGGGCCAAGAACGAAGAAAATGTATCCGTCATATCAAGATGGCGGTGAATCTGGTCATGCTCCCCACGGAGCAACAGCGTATGTGCCGTTAGACGCATCGAATTTCCCATACCAATATCGCCTATTTATCTGAGTTACTGCGTATTGAGGTCCAATCTAGCGCGCAGCTTCCAAGCTTGGATATCACAAGCGTTCGCACAGCTTTAGTAGTCGCACTGAATACATTTGACATTCTTGTCGACCCGTCAAGAAAGCGAGATACAGCGGATTTAATCAGGGACAACATCCAGAAGCTATGGTGAAATACACATTTTTTAGCTGTCGCCGTTTGTTTCGTGGAAACTCTTAAACTGGTGTGGCTCGAGCTGTGGCCTTCACGATTCGCCTTATATTTTCCGGAGCGTGGCAGGTGTCACATTGCATGCTAAGTACAACTTCCATGCCAAGAACTGGATAGTATTCTGAAATTGAAAGCTATACGAGCGCGTAAGAAGCAGTAAATATCAGTTATGCATGTATAAGAACGAGATATTTTGGTTATCAAGTATCGCCGTTGTACGCACTGGTGTTTCTTTTGCTGAAACAAAAACCATCTGCGTCTTGTGTTTTCCCTTTGCTCTCAGATGAGAAGGTTGAGCTCTCGCGTAGGTCTGATTAATGTAGCGCTCCCAATAGATCGCAGAGCAGAGTTGAGTTTGATTGTACATGTAAAGATTGTAATCAATTGAGCCCGGGTCTAGAAATAGCTGCTTTCTCCGAGTGACGTGAGGTTCACAGCTTCGGGGTGCTCACCGTTGATATTAAGGTTCCGGACTATGGAAGATCCTGATAGATATAGGAGCGTCGTGTATCTGCGCACGACGCGCGACTACCAAAATGAAGACTGGTTTTGGAGGCATTGAAGACGCCAGATGTGAATATAATATATGTGCGCTTTTGAACGGGACACTCGCAAAAGTGTCAAATGTTATGCTTGGCTACCTGTAAAAGCTGAGTCTCGTATGGAGGTTATTTTGATATAATATTTTACTATGTATGATGTCAGTTGAGACAAGGGTTGACTGGAGGGCGAAAACCCCGATTGGGATTCCCTTCACTCATGCTAGAGCTTTTGTGACTCAGAATCCTTATCTCCACTAGGAAGCAAAAACAAATTTTGCGCAGAAATAGCTGCAATAGGTCTGTTTCAGGCATGGGATTGTTTGGACTGTTGCGTAATGATGCTACCGACTGGCAAAATCAAGGAAGGCAGTGGCAGTAAGGATCCGTCTCAACTGAGAAATGCAAAAAAAAGCGGATATCGTATGGATGTATATTTGCTGAGATCAGAACTGCCGCACAGCACCAACGACTCCGCGTTCACTAGCGCAGGGTCCCGGTACGGCTTAGACAAGCCCACATCCGGGTGGGTGCGTACTCTTCTCGGAAGGTTCAGCGTATATGCAACGCCTTGCTCAGCAACGACCTTAAAGGTTCAATAAAAAAATTAACAGAGCTTTGTCTTAGAGACAGCAGAGGTTGCATGGGGAGAAAGGTTTTAGCATCTAAAACACAGGTTTTCATCGTTGATATTTCCAGCAATTCTTCTGCTTCTTTCTGCATGTCTTGGCTTTCAGCCACCGCATCGCGAACGTCTTGTAGGAAAGTTTAAGAAGTCATCGATATTTTACAAGCAGAGAGGAGGCTGACATCAGCTAGCTGTTTGGCTACTCCTTCCCCACTAAGCCCTAAGCCATGGGGTGGTGGTGTCAGTAGGACGCGAGGATACACAAGTCCGTTCACGTAGAATGGCGTGTAGCCGGTAGATGAATGCACTGTATTGTTTAGAGGGAACACCACAAGTGGCATTGAACCGCTCCAGCACTTCGGCGTCTTGGTGCAGACGTTGCGTAAAATGTCTTAAACGACGCGATTTACGCGCTCAGTCTGACCATCGGTCTGCGGATGGTCCGCTGTTGACATAGTCAACTTGGTACCCAGCACGGTGAAGATTGAAGACCAAACCTTCTCAGTGAAATGTGGGTCTCCATCAGAGACAATTGACTTCTGGAGCCCATGTTGTCGAAAGACACGAACGATAAACTGCGTCGCTGTACCCACATCGTCAATGGTGTCCAACACTGCCGCAAGATGAGCCATCTTGCTCAAATGGTCCACATAGAACACCAGACCCATATTGCCCGTCGAGTCCTTCAGCAGGCCAAACCCAACGTCTAAACTTATGAACTGCCAACACCCGAAGGGTACCGGTAAGCTGGCCAGCAGCGCTGCCGCATTTGGAGAGAGTTTCACCCTTTGACACGTCTCACACGTGCGAACATATGTGCTCGTCCATTTGTACAGTTAGAGCCACCAATAGAGGCAGCTCACAGAGCTGTATGTCTTTTCACGGCCGAAATGACCACTGATTGGGGCGTCGTGGGCCTCATAGAGGATACAGTACTTTATGTCCTCATCGACAAGTCGTGGCGTATCCGTCGAGTCAGTGCTGTAATAGAGCGATCTCTATTCAACGAATATTTACGCAACTGTGCGCGCAGTCACGATGACAAACTCTTGTTCGAGTTTTCAAACTCCTTACTCCCGAGGTCCCGTAGCAGCGCTACACCCGTATCATCACCCGAGTATATGGTGCGGATCGAATCCGTCACTGGCAACGTCACCGTCGTGACATGAGCAAGCTCATAATCCGGTCTGCGTAACAACGCATCAGCCAAAGCATTCTTCTATCCTAGCATATACCTTACCTCAAACTTATATACTGCGAAGAAGGGGAGCCACCGGGCCATCCTATGCGAGAGGTTAGGTGACTGAGTCGCAGTGCTCAGTGGCGCATGATCTGTGTAGATCACAAAAGACACTGAGCCAAGCAGGTGCACCCTGAACTTGACAGGTGCATACTTCATCGCAAGTAATCCTTTGTCGTGGATTGGGTAGTTCCTCTCTGCAATTTTTAGCTGACAAAATTCCAATGCGATTACCCAACTTTGTCCCTCGGCGTCTGCTTATAGAAGTGCACAGCCGATGGCAAAGTCCGAAGCGTCACAGACGAATTAAGAAGACGATCGAGGTCTGGCAACGCCAGTATCGGTGCAGATGGAGGCTGTCTTTGACCCTTCTAATGCTCGGTGTCCCAAATCCATTCCGTATTTTTCTTTAGAAGATTCGACAATGGCCGTGTCATTTCCGCATAATTTGCGCTACACTTGTCCAAGTAGTTGGCGAGGCCAAGCCACATGCGCAAGTCCTTTTGATTCTTTGGGACCGGCCAGTACGCAATGCCCTCGACCTCAGTGGGATCAGCTCAAAGGCCGTGCTTCTCGAAGAAGCACCCTGAAAGGGATGTCCAGCACCGAAGATGCATTTTCCTGCCTTTGCATACGGCTTATTCGTGCGCATGCACTCGAGCACAGCTCTCAAAGGAACAATTTGGTATTCCTCATCTGTCCTCCCATTCTCGCACGACTGTGAACGATATGTCGTCGAGGTATGTTTGCATACGCCCCGTGGGACTGAACAAACTGCGTCACTAGACAAAAAAATGTTGCTGGCTCATTTGACCGCCCTTAGTCATCACCAGCCACTCCTATAGCATGCCGGTCGGAGTACCCACCGCTGTCAGTGGAATATCACTCGTTCTCATGAACAATTAGTAATATTTATCGATCAAGTCGAGTGCACTCTACTATGTATAACCAACCATATTGTTCTGGAGAACCCCCTTTCTAGGAATCAGCATTTGTGCCGGAATGGTTGCAGCGATTGAGTTATTGTAAGCGTAAACGATACGCCACTTGCCGTTTGCCTTCCGGATACAAAACGAGGGTGTCAAATGGGAGACTTGATCTCACGCACCATTTTTGCCTCGTGCTTTGCATGGAAAAAGGCCTCAATGACGTCACACTGCTCCTTTGGCAGCGGCCATTGGCGTGTCACGCAGTATTTGGCTCTCTGAACCAGGTCAATCTCATGACGCACACCTCGGTCCGGAGGTAGGACCGTCGGCGGGTCTTTGGAGACGACGTCTTGAAATTCCTTTACCAAAGAATAGTACAGATCCTTAACACCTATAAGAATCGACGGTCCACCTTGTGCGTTCAGCAACCTCTTAATGTCCTCCAGGACAGCTTCATTCTGAAGCGACAACGAGTTAATCTCCTCATTTGGTCGTTTAATGACCAATTCGGCTAAATCGCCTGCCTTCAAGACACATCCAAACTCTTCGAATGACATCTCGTCCAACTCAAGAAGAGCATCCACCGCTGGATTAGCCTCGAGGACGACGTCGCCGTCGTCCATCCCCATCATATCGTTGACATGGGTGTATAGCTGCGCGGTATCGTCTACGTAGACACACCCAGGGTCAGGGTCGACGCCCTGCGTATTGCAGATATCATACGGCTTCGAAGTAACATATTTTGTAAATGAGTTAACGCATGGTGGTTCCAAATCTATGATTGAAGGTTCAAATATCCCAAAGTTAAAGTACACGATGTTAGGGATTCAGGTGTCTACTACACAGATCACACCCCTCGATGTTTCTGTTAGAGTTTGTGTCCACGCGGGGCTTACGAGTCGGCGGCAGGTACGGAGTGGCGAGTAGTAAGTACTAAGTGGTTACGGCAGATATACGTCAGGATTCGGTGTGATGAGGAAACAGCGAAGGTGGTGGAAAAGTAAATGATAGCTACGAAAATATTTTGGGAAGGATACAGAGACGAATACAAAGACACCAGCAAGGCAATTGGGTGCGTCACCCAAGTAGATTAGAAATTGTGTGGATTGACAGACAGACAAGTCAAAATGAAACCAAAACCTAAGTCTACCATCCAAAGACATTAAAGGAGTTAAGATTCTCGTGCTTAGCCACAAAATATGCAACCGTCAAAAAAAAGCTAACGGCCAAAGTTAAGCAGTAATCATTCACCCGAATGCGCTCACAATATTGAGATTACGCTGGTGAGGCACTTTCAGTAGCACC